TTCGGCTCCGCCCGAACTTAGACTTTCTTACTTGTTTATTTTGAAATCGTGCCGCCGCACAGTGGTCGGAGAGGCTTTATTTTACGGGAAAAATTAGAACGACTTTTCCGTAGTTTGAGAGTTGACAGCTGTTGAATCAATTTTCAAATTCATTGTCTCAGGAATTCTGTCTTTTCTTGGACGACATATTTACCTACCTTTTAGGTCGATCAGTTGAGAGAAACTAACTCACGAGCTTTAAAATTGAGCTTGAGCTAAAAGTTTCAAGTTCCAATTCTGGCTTGATTTTGGAGCGACTCGCAATTCAAATGATCCCTGCTGATAAATATTGTGTTTGCTACATCAATTTTGAATGAGTTTTGTTCCGATAAGTTTGCATATTTTGTATCTTTCGGGAATTTTTCAGAAAGTTATGATTGTATTATGAATACGACTTATTGATTGAGCAAAAACCGCTACATTTTATCTTCATTCATGGTATTACTCTTTTTCAACCTACAATGCAAAGTTCGATTCGACGTACCAACGTCTATTTTCTATGAAATTCTGATATCCTAATATGATGATGAATGATAATAATCCTGAACTAGCATCAAAATGGTCCTGAACTAGTCACAAAATTGTTCTGAAATATGGAAATTAAGGCCGAAGAAAAAATATGCATGTACTCCAAAACGATCTCTGGAAATAGAATAGCCACTTGACTGAATAGAATATTTCTGTTAAGAATACGAAAACTAGCATATTTAGTGTATAGTACTATGGCAAATTTATTAAGAGAAAAAAAACAAAGAAAAAGCCTTAAATATATAAAACATAGTTCACTTGGCGAGCAGCTAATAAATACGTAATATAAGCAAAACTAGTATGACATACATATGTGCACATATTCGTTCATTCGCTTATACTAGTTGAAGTTACTGCTAAAGTATAATTAAAACCCACCCAAAGAAGCATAAACTAAAAACAAAAAAAAATAGCAGTCGCAACAAATAGCCGCTTAAAGTAAGGCAATCAATGCAAAGTGCAATTAAACCAAACATCAAATCGGAGACCTGCATTGAGCAAGAGAGCAGTATAGAATCGAGGAGAGCCACATACAACGAGTAGACCGCAATCATGTTTGTTGTCAGTTTAGCGATGTTGCAACAGTCATTTCAGAGTATGCGCGCGGCGTTGGCTAATGAAAACAAAAGATGTAAAAAAACTTGCAAAGTGTATTCATAAGAGTGGTTATTGGCTAAAAAAAAACGTGGCAGCAAAAACTTGTCTGTAAGTAATTGAGAGTGAAGTGGCTGCCTATATTTTGCTGTAATAACGAGCACTTATATATCTGCATTTGGATTTCGCGCCGGCACAATGACAGTAAAGTGCACTGTGGAGCGTTTTGGTTTTTTTCTTTTAATTCTCTCATAAAAATAATCAAAAGTATGCATATATTTATGTATGTAAAATGGAGGTTAATAGGAGTTTAAGATATTCATTCTTTTCTTCTTCTTCTAAGGTAAAAAATGATCCGACGTAGGATGGCAGAAATTTTAAGATTTGTATAGCCTTTTCCAAGCAAAGGTTATCACCATAAATGAACGAATTAATGCGGCCCGCTCAGAGTGATCAACAGATATTTGATCTGAGTCTCTGATCTCAATTTTGGTAGCCTCTGAATGCATACTTCCAAAAAAGACTGGCACCATACTTAAGCACGGTAACATTGCAGGATGGCTAAAAACCTGCTAATGCAGGCCACCAACAACATAATTTCCTTCAGCAGGGGTGGGTACAGGTATTCCTTTGGCAACCTGCGCTTTGAAAGACGCGTTAGTAGTTTGCTCTTTGGTTATTCAAGTGGTAGCCCGCGGCCCCACGGTTCGGAGTAAATATGAAAAGATATTTTGTGAAGGTAACCCCTAGACTGCGCAGGTAAACAGACTTTACCTAAACCAAAGGTAGTAAACACCAGGTAGTCCACCGCCATGATCACCATCTCCTTGGAGAAGTACTCCTGAATCTTCTATCTCCTTTTACAACGACAGTAAAGCTGCACTAAAAGTCTTATATTAACGTAAAGTAAAGTTCCGCCAGTTATATGAATGAGTAGCGAAATTTAACACCTAACGGGAGTACTGCTCAGTGGAAATATTGTAGATCCAGGATTATAAAAGCATACTAGGTAACGAGAAGGCTGATTGACCGAAAATAGTAGCAACGACCAGACCATTGGGACCAGAAATTTGTCTTGCCATAGGACAACATACTTACTATGAGGGAAGAGTCAAGAGCAGAGGAACGCATGCTTAGAAGAGTCCATTGACAGAATGCAAACGGTTTGAACACCAAGATATTTAAGAACCTAATCACTCTCCCAACGACAGATTTGAGGCTTATAAGACATACGCACGCTGAATATACTAAAATACGACAGTATAAGCCCAACGTTCTCTACTTCTAGAATCCAATGCAGTCGTTGGAAGTAGCGCGAAGAGATGTAGTTAGGTAGTTAGCTAGTTAACTTCGTAAATTAGGAATCTGGTCTAGTGACCTATGTCGCTTCTGTGACGCTACCAAGGAGACTCCATTATACCTCCTTCTGGAATGTGAGGCCGTCGGACGTAGAAGAGAGAGCAGCCAAGGGCATTTATGGCCAAGAGAGGATCACATACTTTCTCTACCCCCGTTATGAATTCTTAAATTTCTAGACCCTCTAGGGCTAGGTGAGGTACTGTGATGAGCTGAGAGCACAATACACCTACTTGGTCGCAGTGCTTTATTCAACTATTTATCTATCTATCTAACTCCCTCACCCTAAGCAGCTTGTATGGTGTACAGTCATTTCCTGGTCCATCCAAAAGATACACAATAAAGCACATTCGAAGGTGGAGGAGCCTCAGGCTCCCTATGGAAAATGTCAAATGCGAACAAGCAATCCAAGAGATTCATTCCATCCTCTCGACGAGTCACAGACCTGATACTGCATATTAAGTTACCATCCTGGTATAATGGGATTATCTAACAAAGAGTTCTTGAAATTTTTTTCCGCTGGCTGAGTGAGCAACAGTGCGTATCTACTACCATAAACATATATGATTATTATAAGAATGAACACATGGCAACACAGCCTAAGCTTGAAACAAAAGCGGTTTAACCAATTTTTGTTTAAATCTACATATATTCGCACAATTAACCCACTGTTCAGTATGCGCATGCGCAACCGCATTACGTGATATACGATACACTGGAGTTGCTGGCTGAACTCACTAACCGAGTCAAGTTGGCGCTGCTCCGGCGTTTGTTGTTGTTGTTGTTGTTGTTGTACAGTGGACACCGACAAAACAACGACTTTTTAATGTTGCAGTAAAAATAAATACATATATCTCCCCACATTGTTGTTGCAGTTATTGCCGATGCGATTTTGGTTTTTTGGTTGAACGTTGAGCATTTAAAAATTTCGATTTCAGTCAATGTGCGAACGCGTATCGAAAGAGATGTTAAGTAGATAGTGGCGTAGAGGGTACATGAAATTGTACACAATTTAAAACTGAAGCAATTAAGAGTAAGTGATGAAAAAAAATAAATAAAAATAAAACGTTGTAATAAAACAAGTGCAAGATGCCAAATTAAATGAGAAAGCGGCATTTTTTTAAAAAGTAAATTCTTAGAAGTTGCGTATACGCAGCGCCGTGCCACAGCAAACAATATCTGAATGGCTGCAAATTATTTATTTATGAGTGAAATAATTAAATGAACACCAAAATTTTATGAAATTTTGTATCGAAAAAAGACAACAAATTTCTTTTATCGAACGGCGCGTAAATTCTTTGTACTTTCATTTTTCGTTTGTTTTTTTGTTTTTTGCGCTTTTTACGCAGCTTTTGCGACGCACTGGCCTGCATTCCATTTGGCTCGATTGGGCGACAATATTTGTTTTTTTTTTTTTGTTTTTTGCGAACCCATTGGAATTTTAATGCGCATGTGCGCACATTAAATTTTTGTAAAAGTGCACAAAAGCAAAAAAAAAAAATAAGCAAACAAGGCTTTGGAGTGAGCGAAAGAGTATGCAACTGATAAAAGTAAGGAATTTGCTTGAAGCTAGCGAGTGAAATTTTTCGAAATGTGTTAAACACGTGCAAAATGTGATAAATGACGCAAATATTGGAGCGAAAAATAATATGAAAAAAATGCTCCAGATTTCATAAAAAAATCACTTTAATAAAACTACTTGTATTCAGCGCAGCTCAAAAACGTAGAGTGAAACTATTTTTGCAATGTTCAGTAGCGATTGCATACTTTAGTGACCAGCACATATATAAAGTGTACAAAAAAAAAAATAAAAAATAAATTAAATTTAATTTACCTCCAATCAAAAATACTTCATAAATCAATACAAGAAAACAACAACAAACAAATAACAATAAAAATTGTTTATGAAAAGTGAGAGTGTTTACCAAATGTGTAGTTACTTAGTTGCCTTGAACAGCAATGGTTTGTTTGCATTTCTCATTCACAGCGACGGCCTTGTACGCATGCGTGCGTATGTATGTATTTGTGTGTACGCATAACTTCGATGAGTAAAACTGAATGAGCAACTCAAAATGTGAACGATGAGAAAACGCGATTAGTAATCAAATATACGAAATAAAAATTATAAAATAAAATAAAATAAAACGTCAATAGTACTTTATAAATATTGTATGTAAATATTGTCAAATAAAAATCTTCAATAGAAATACAAAAATAGATCATTATGGTTTTAAAACTTTCAAAGTAGGGCGGGTAAAATTTTGTCTCAACTTTGTTTCGGCAACTGACGTATTCTACTGGCAATTATGAACAAAAAAATCCATGGAAATATAGCTCTAAATTGGATTTCGAACCACCTAACTTTTAATTTTAGTCGTTAATCCATAACCAACTTTTTTTTAACCGAATTCAATTCAATTCAATTGATGATATATTATTACAAAGTAGGTATGAAACTTAAGAAAGCTAATTTTCAAAACTTTTTTTAGAGGGTTGCCAACTGTTTAAAAAGTTTAATTCAATTAAATCGATAAGGTAAATGAAATGTTGCACTATGGGTGTCAAAATAAAGTGGAAAATATTTGTTTGTAAAATATTTCTAAACAGAGTTGCCACCTGTTTGAATAATTTAAATCAATTCATATGATAAGATAAATGAAATAACACGACATGGGTGTCAAAATAAAGTGTTTTAAGATAGCTTAATTTTTAAATATTTATTTTTTGAAGAAGTTTGTCATCTGTTTGCAAAATATATTTCAATTAAATTTAAAATTTAACTGAATATGCCTTTTAAACGCAAATTTTGTTCCGAAAATTTTATTAAGAAAATGGTACTAGATTGTTAAGATATATTAAAAATTTGGAATCAAACGAAAGATACTCAAGGAATCTTTGATTATGGAACATTTTTTAATAGTGTTGTCACCAATCTAAAAATTTAAGGCAACAAACTTAAAATTAAAGTAAAGAAATTTTTGCACCTTGGTCGACCACATAATATTAATATAAAGGGCTCAAATTTTCAGCGATTTTTTTTTTTAGGTATTTCCCACAAAATTTCATGGTGCGAGTGAAAAAAATAGTCGCGAAAAAAAGCACCCTAGTCATAATCAACGTTGCATAAAAAATCGCAATTCATTTTCGTTGCGATACAAATTCGATTTTTGCAATAATAATTCAACATCAAAATTTATTATTTTTGCAGTTACAACTACAAACACTTGCAGCTTGCAACATAACTTGGATTACTTGTTGAATGCTGCAAGTGGTCTCGACCAGTGAGTGCCGCCAACGACGCCAACCAACGCTAGCAAAAATACTGAAAATTGCCATAAATGCCGCTGCAGCTACCCAAAACAGCCAGCCGACCCGCAGACCCAGATGAATGCTCCACTCAAAATGCTGTTCCACAACAAAGGCGCTATATTTTCGGCTGCTTTTAGTATATGGCTAATATGCTGTTGTTGTAAGTATTGCAACATACAATTTGCAAATGTTTATGGATGGATGTATTTGTTTATTTGTATGCGAACAATAAGTGTATACAGTGACTCAACTACATGAGCACGTGTTGATTTTTTTTCTAAATATTCGCAATCTTTTTCGAGCTAAATTTTTTTTGTTATTTTTCTATAAAAATACCGCCCAGGCTTTAACCAAAACCAAATCACAGTTTCAAACTTAATACAAAATTTAGGATAATTTAACAAATTTTCAACTTTTTGTTCCGAATCTTTAGAATATTTTTGTGTATGCAGTTTTATAACCCATACAATTTAAGTCTAATGAAAGCAAGTTTCAAACGGCTGACAAATCGCGTTGATTTTGAATTTTTTTTTGTGACGGATTTTTGCACTTTTTCCATAAAAGCATGAATTTCTTGCGAAATAAAACACGGTAAAGTGTTAGCAAGAAAATTTCAAAAAATTTGCGCTAGATATTGAAAGTTGCACTTGTTATATTAAAAAAAAAAAAACCGAAAAGTAGTCTAAAAAAAAAAAAATTATCCAAAAATCAACGCGATTTGTTATCCGGTTGAAACTTGCACTTCATAAGATTAGAATTCTATGGGCCATAAAACTGCGTATTCAAAAATAGTTTTAAGATTTAGATTAACAAGTTGAAATTTTGATGAAACTTTGTTGAATTTTCCTAAATTTTGCATGAAGTTTGAAATTGTGGTTTAAATGGTTTTGGTTAAAGCTCAGACGGTATTTTTACAGAAAAATAACAAAAAAAAAATTTAGATCGAAAAATATTATGAATATTAAAAAAAAAGCTAGGTCATTTGTTCGAGTCACTGTATGTATGTATGAAAGTATCTTTATTTGGTAGACAGTCTCTATTATCACATTTAATCTCCTGCGCTCTCTGCATAACTTTTTATAAATTAATACTCATATATACATATATGCTTTAGTGTTAAGCGTTTCGCTCTTTAGAGTCTGTCCTATTGTTGCAAACTCCCCAAAAATTGTTTTTAATAGCCCGCACACTGCAGTCGATCACTATTGAGCAAATGCAAAACCGGTTTCAAACCTACTACATACTTATTGTGCTCGTATTTGCCTACACCATTCAGCGCTCCCTCTGCCTGTCGTCGTCGTCGATCTCGTTGGCTTCTTGGCTTTTAATGGCTTTTAGCCTTTTGGCCGTTCAAAGTGCTTTGCTGTGTCGTCATTGTGTCAAGGTCGACTAGTTTGGTGATTTTTTTTTCCTAATATATATTTTTTTTTTTGCTTTAGACTATCTACATTCACACGTACTAACTACCTGAACAACGCTGATGTTATTTATTTGACTGAAGCAGCATCTTTTTTTGCTTTGTCTGCTGATTCCATACGCTTGAGTCTATTAACGTAATTGGATAGAAGACCTCCCCGCCTATGTTTCGGCTGTAAAGTCAATAAACTCGAATGGGTATTTATAAGTAGATATGTACATATGTATGTATGTAGATATTTTATCGTCAAATCATTATTGGATGCTTTGAGGAAGGTGCAAAGTATTTGGAAATGTATGTATGTATATTGTTTTAACCTCTTTTGTTTGAAACCATTTCGAGAGATCTCTACTTTTTTTTCTAGCGGTATAGAGATGGTGTAGTTTCTACAAAAATATTTCATTTGCACTAGGTAATCCAGAAAGAATTGTGCTAGGTCATGGTTTCGAGCTCAAACCTTCAGCTAATAGACCGAAACCCGAAAATCAAATGCAACATTTTTCGAAATTGTACTGCCAATTATTATTAAGATATTTAGAAAAGAAAGTGGAACGGGGTACGGTCGTTTTTCTGAGAAATACAGTTACTGGCAACACTCAATCTCGAATCCTCCGTTCCCGTACGCAAAACGCGAGCAGAACAAGTTTGAGATGCGGTAACCAACCAGTGGGTACTCTCTATCAACACAAAAGGAAAGCTCAGCATCGGTGGAGCCACTCCGCCTTCTTCACTTCAAGGGCTCAGGCTTAGATTTAAAAAGGTTTAAATTTGAAAATATTTTGAACAGGGTTGCCGCCGGTTTGAAAATTCGATTTCAATTAAATTATAGAAAGTTATATGAAATACTGAAATTTTGGTGTTGTCAAACGAAGGAATCTTTTTCGTGGTTGCCACCGTTTACAATTTAAACTGAAATTATTAAAATGTGCTTATCAAACGAAATGAGCTTGAATGGATTTATTTCAGAACTATGTATATTTAGGAGAGTTTCCACATGTTTAAAATATTAAATCCAGTTAGGAAATTTAAATATGTATGTATCCCAACTTGGGTGTCTCAGAAGAAAAAGGTTTTAGAGAGTTTTGGTTTGGAAATATTTGCCAAGGGTTGCCACGTGTTTGAAAAGTCGAATTAAATTAAATTGTGCACGTGGTACTTATATGAAATATTTAAATGTAAGTGTCAAACGAAAGTGCGGTAGGATATGTATCTTCAATTTTAACATTTCGAAGGCTTTCGATGTATTTGAAGGCGGTTGCCACAGTTAAATTCACATTTTTTCATAAGTTAAATGAATTATTAAAAGATGTGTATCAATCAAAATGGATTCAGAAAGGCCTTATTTCAAAAGTATATTTAGGAGGGTTGCCGCGTATTTGAAAAATCGAACTAAATTTATTTCATCAATTTATTAAAAATTTTATCCGAATGTCAGAAGAAAGAGATTTAAAGGATTTTAGTTTGAAAATACTTTGGAAAAGGGTTGTCGGCTGTTTGAAAAATCGAATCTAATTAACTTACTACAGTATTCTACGCTTAATTGCACTTTAAAAATTGCATATTTTCAATTAACCGGGGAATTAATTAACCGATACTCGTTTAGTTGAACAGTTTGATCGATTACAGAAATTCCGCTGAATTGGACAACCTAATAAATTAAAAGAAAATGCATATATGCATTTTAAATTTAATGATATTTATATAGTTTAAACTTTAAACGAAAAATATAAGCAATAAAAACAATTTGTATTATTTATTGTATACTGTACACAATATACATACATATATGGCATATTTAAATATGAGCGTCAAAAGAAAAAGTTTCATGAAAGCTTTTAAAAATACATTTGATTGGGGTAGCCACCCATTCGAAAAGACATATCTAGCCAATTATATAATAAATATAACGCGAAGGCATTTTTTGTGAGTCAGAAGATCTGCACCGTTCTTTAAAATTCCAAAAATAAGATGTAAAATGAAGTAATAGCGATTTATTTGTTTTAGTTGTTTTTAAATCGGTATAGGGTTATTTGAAATTAGAGAAATCAACAAACACCAAGCGAAACTTCTCTCCACTCTGAAACGGCCGGACGGATTTAGATTAAATTTGGCACAAAGAAAAGCGATAATCGTGAGTAACGTTTGGAAGATTGGTTTTCGGTTTTTAATGTTTAAAATGTTTAATTCAATTTTGGCGTTTTAACGTTATGCGGGTTCAGTAGTACGTAATATAGTAATAGAGAAAGAAGAGGTTTGAGTTCAGTGCTATTCTTTCATTTTATTTCATTGCATTTACATAAAATTTCAAGTGTTCCACTTATAAGCTGTTTGTACGTCAATATTAGGTAGGAGTTCAAATCTAAGAAAAACTCTTAAGAATTGCGTCTGTCTAGTAATATGTTCAAGGTGTTCGTTCAGCTTTAGGCGGAATGCAAATTTGAAACTCTTAAATGCCAGCGATTACTACATACATGCAATTAACCAAGTATTTATTTAAAACGAATAAGCGCACCAAAACCAACGAGAAACTAAAACAAAGTTGATTGAGATAAAAAACAAACAAGCGCATGAACACATTAGGACTGGTCCGAACTTAAATTTTTTACCAGATTTTACCTGAAACCGATCCCGTACTCGCTGTGAGCAGATTTTTGTTATTTGACACTTTTACTAGTCCGAGAGCTACGGAATCAAGCCTATTATATTTTCCTACCAAAAGATAATGTTAATTTTTTTTTTGTTTAACGCTTTGCGTTGACTTGCCATTAAGCCAAGCCCAACTCACTTTACGACTGTATTACATAATTTAAATTACATACATATGTACATAAGTGCATACATTAGAGTATGTAGCACCACTGTCCCCACAATTGTCTCTGCTGCGCTGCGTGCGTTAGATGAGGAATTACAAACATTTCATTGGAATGCCGGTGTGGCATTTTGGTCTTTGGTTTAATTTGTCTTAATTAAATATTAGTTTTGGTTGGTAGAGTATGTTGCTTCAATTGGAATACATATTTGTCTTGAAAGCAATATGTTTAATAAACTTGAAAATATTATATGATTAATAGCGCTTATTTAGACATTGAGAAATCCACCCTAAATCAAGTTTGTTGCATAACTGGGAGCTGATTAATATCTGTGCTAACAAAATTTTTATAACCAAAGAAAACAAGTAAATGCTTTGATTACACCGCGCGGCAGTAAAAATACCAAAAAATTTACATTTACAGGCCTAGCCTTATAATTTGACACCTCAATCTCGATATTACAGAGCAATTCTGGCAACTGTCAACTTTCAACTCACCACAAACTTTCGTAAGACAATTGTCAATTCTGGCAACTATCTTAAACGCCCTTTACTATCTTTCGAAAGACTTGAAACTGAAAAATCTGCTAACGAGGAGGTCTTAAATTAAATTAAAAAACATATATACATATTTTTGTTTTAAAACAATAAAAATTAATATAGAAAAGAAATTACATTAAAAAAATGTATCAAAAAAGAAGGAAATAGTACTTAAAAATTAAATTAGATTAAAAATAATTTTATAAAAAACGGACAAAAGAACAATTAAACAATTTATTAACATCCTAAAAATGAAATGAAATAAAAAATATATATTTTTCTTTTTAAAATATAAAAGTCTAAAAAAATTAAATAAAATGAAATTGATAGAAGAATAACAAATAAAATAAATTTCGAAAAAGTAAATTAAATAAAAAAAAGGTTTTTCTTTTTTATACAATAAAATCTAAAAATTAAAAAAAAAAATTACTAAAAGAATAAAATTAATTTTTTTCAATGAAAAAATAAAATGAGCTCTTAAACATGAAATGAAATTAAAAAAAGAAAAAATCTTTAAAACAATAACAACCAAACCATTAAAACAAATTTAGTTACGAATAAAATTTTATCAAAAAGAGAAAGAAATGCATAAAATTAGTTTCTAAAAATTTAATTTAATTAAAAAATATATATGTACATACATATATTCTGTAAAATTGAAAATCTGAAAAATTAAATAAAAAGGCATTTAAAAAAGAAAAACAACAAAAATCCGCTGCGTCAGGACTCAAGCTCGCGTTCCTCAATTGGCACGCCTGAGCTTTGCCCACTCGGCCATTGCGACTATTTGTATGACGCGAGCTAAATGATATAGAACTGTTTTCTCTCACAATAGCTTTTCACCACGAGTGGTGAATAAGATAGCTTTTTTCTACGACGTTTTTGCTAGAATAAAAAAGTTTTTCGAACAATCTTGCCATCTCTCCAGCCCTTGGAAACCTTCAAGAAATGAAGACAGTTTCAGAGGCTGTTTTCCGCCTATCCTTCCCCATAGAGGTGCCAGTACAAGTCACTTCCGAATGGGCGTAATTTTCTGGAATGTTAATCAAAATATGCGGAAACAAAAGTTTACGAGTCAAGCCCTAAATTTAAGAGGTTACAATATTACTATATGGGTAATCGAGTTTATTGAGGCATTGAAGTAATCAGAAGCATAAAATCGAGGGAGGCCCTGTTGTAGTCTATCTTCTTTCCATTATTCTTTCACCTTCCTTGTACCAAGATATTGTTGGTTCAATAAAAAAAACATGTTTTTTATTTCAGTACCCAGCGCCGAACCACTCGTTGTGCCACAGGAGCTGCCCTCCATACTATCGTTAATCTATTCGAATATACCACCTATTAAAAAAGGTAATTAAACACACCCACTATTTGCTTTGTTGTCTATTCAAAAAATCCGCTAACCCCACTACTTTCACCCCACCTCAGGTACCGACTCTCGCCTCGGCTTCGGCTTTCGTCTCGGCAATCATGCCGACTTTCAAGTACTACTCGAATTAGGACCACAGAAAAATACACGTCCGATCGGCGAGAATACTGATTCGGAAAATAATTTCAATAAAAGACAAATTAGCAAAGCGCATCGAGACTATCTGCTGCGGAAGCAGGCACAAGAGGCGCTCAAACAGCTGAGCAGTAGCACCACCACTGACGACACCGTCAGCACAATCACATCAACCGAGCCTACAGCAGCCAGTTGGTTGGAGAATTGGTCCAAAGCTATGCATTCGAATATGAATAGCAACAACAACAACGACGCTAGCGCTGGCATTGCGGCGAGTAAAAAGAAATCAACGCCGAAATTTACACAAATCACAGCGAAAAAGCACCAACAGCAACAACA